CTGAACAAAGTTACTTTTTGTTGGTTTATATTTATTTTAGCAAGATGAAGCAATAAAAGATGGTGATGAAACATACTGCCTAGGGAGGGAAACCAAGATAAGTAAATATACTGTCTCAGCAACTGCTGACAGCTTTGGACTACTCCACTTAAAATTTATAGCAGTTAATTTCAACCTTTATAAATCTATAATTCAGAATTGGAAATATTGTCCCAGTGTTTGACTTGGCACTATTATTGATAACATTTTAACACAAAGTGTTCATTTCCTGATCCAAAATTAGTTCGTGCTCTCTTTTATTGTTACTAGCTTTAGTGGGAGCAGAGCAGGTCAAGATGGAGTTTATCAAGCACAGAATATAGATTTAAGACCTACAGGGTGAATTCAAAACACTTGTAATGGTCAATGTATAATTAACAGATTTTAATTTTATTACCCCTAGAAAAAGAAGAGAAGGCTATAAATAAAAGTGTGACACCACAAGTGATTTTTTATAGTACTGTCCTCTTTGTGATCCTAAACCAGTAAAATAAACAGAGAGGATTACAGCTCTGGTGATGTGGTTACAGGGCAGAGCTATTTGAATTCTCTATGGAAACTGAACTACACTAAGGAAAGCCCAGTATGTTATTTCTGTATGGAAATTTTGCTGGCAATCCTGATCACCTGATGACAGTCTGGACAAAACAGAGTCAGAGATCCTTCCAAGGATAATCACAAATACTGTTCCTGTGATATTCACTAAAAGCATTTGTTGTTTCACAAGGAATCTTTCACTCAAGCACAGGAAAATGATCTAACAGCATTAATTGAGCTGATGCCAGAATACTATATCCAAACTAGTATTAACATTTGTAAAAGCTACTGAAGAACCTAAATGTTCTTCAAATGTCTAAATTTCTTTCTAATGATCTTCAAATGTCTAAATTTCTTTTGCCTAAACGACTTTCTGTGATAAAAATATCACAGAAAAAAATGTGTAGAAAATACATATAGAAAAATGAGAAAAACAGACTGTATAGCTTCTCATGGAGAAAGCTGATGTGATTACCACAGGTAAGTAGTTTAAGAGTATTTGAAAGAGTCTATAACCCAATAAAGAACAGCATAAAACACCATCACAGTGTCTGCAAGTTAAATTCAGACAAAGCAGAACAGACACTGATCATGATGAAATGCAGGGCAAGTCGCTGAGGGAAACCATACACTTCCCCTTTTGGGTGGCCTACAGTGAAGGTGATGCCTTTCTGGAAGGGATGCTCTACCTGCAATCCAGTTAGAAGTCTCAATACAAGGGTAGCTAGATGAAATTCTGCACACTGGTAGCAATCAGTCTGATTTTGTCCACCTCACATCTTTTTATCCTTTAAATGTACAAGTGTGGTCCTGAATTTTCTCTCTAATGCTTCTGAAGCAAGAAACACCACAATGTATATTTATGGGATGAGCAATCCATATGAGAATTTTTACCCAATTACTTCCAATTTCTGGTTGGGCTGTACTCTAAAGCTCCTGAGCTCTTTCAAATGTCCTGAAGGGAAGTCTGGATATCCAAAAGTGGTCTGAGGGGGTTTTAGTTATGTTTTTTTATTTTAAATCCATACTAGCGTAAGATTTTTTCAGCGTCAACGTGTGTTTGATCCTTCTTGAGTTCCTACTCTTTTTTTTTTTTTTTTTACATTTCAATGCTCTACTGGGACACAGAGTTCCCTGAAGTATGTGCCATCAAAATACACGTATTCATACTTGGCTATTTTCTTCTCCAGTTTGTCACCTGCAGCTTTCTGTCCAACCCTCCTGAACTACGGCTTTTTGACTACCGCTATCCCTACTGGACCACAGTAGTGGGTTACTGCATAGGAACCTCTTCCATCATCTGTATTCCCATCTACATGGTCTACCGCCTGATCATCACTCCAGGAACACTGAAGGAGGTATCCACAATGCTCTGTTGTTTCTATCTGACTGTTAGGAAGGAGGTGATTCCTAGAAAAGTTCTGTGTAGATTTTTTTAGGATCTGATGCCCCAGAACTTGACCACTATTGTTGCTCTGTTCCTAGCCAGCTCGTAGCTAATTGTGTTCTGCCCCTTCTGAGTGACTCACAAATCTCCCCAGGTCTTCCTGAGGCTGATGACATATTCATATAAGATATTAAATCAAGTAATTCTCTTTAAGCTCTGGTGAATTGGTGGCTTTTCCTAGAAATCACTCAAGACACTAGCATGTGAATGAGGCAGTGGAAGATTGGTTCCTTGGCTGTATCTGTAAGAGCAAGTTTCTTTTTTTCGCCCATATTTAATAAAATTTCTTTGCCATGAATCTGTGGCAGCCTGTGATGACATTTTGGGTTTTCTTTTAAGTTCTAAATATCAGTTCAGGAAGAATATGTTCAGTTGGCTCAGGGTATTAGAGTAAATCCTAAATAAGGTCAAACTTTGATTCAAATTATGTGTTACAAATAATTAAAAAAAAATGCTGTGTACTTCTATAGCACATGTTCATAGTGCTGAGGTAACAGAAGCCTTGAAACATTCTTGTGCTGTAGTTCCAAGAGGTATAAGTCAGTCATATTTTTATTATAAATGTCTTTCCAAATAGCTGTCCTGTTATGTATTGCCTGTAAAATTAATTCACATAGTGCTGAGGTAACAGAAGCCTTGACACATTCTTGTGTTGTAGTTCCAAGAGGTATAACTCAGTCATATTTTTATTATAAATCTCTTTCCAAATGGCTGTCCTGTTATGTATTGCCTGTAACATTAATTGGTTTCCAATACTGATTTCTCTCTAACAGCGTATTCTGAAAAGCATTACTCCAGAAACAGCTACAGAAATCCCTTTTGGAGACATCCGCATGAACGCAGTATAAGCTAACCTGTTTTGGGGGGGAGAGAGGGGGAGCACAGAATGTAACTTTCCTCATGCTCTCCCCCCCAAAAGAATTACGTTTCCAGCTGAGACAACACGTGGAAGTTTTCTGTGGAGGCTGCATAGCTGACGATGGGCATTTGGAAGCACGATGCCTCCAACACATTTATCTACTGTGCACTTGTACCAGACTGAACCAAGAACTCATTTGTTCTGGGGACACGAGGCTGGGTGTGTGCACGAGACCAGCACGGCTCCCCACGGGCTGTTGGAAGGTGTGCATGACTGAGTCAGGCACTGCAGTGAGTGGGGCTGGTGTGGAGTCCCCAGTCCGTGGCAGCACTCCCCTGTCTCCCTCCTGTGACCATTCCTCCTGGGCAACGTCATCGTCGCTTCTAAAGTTCCACTGGCTTCAACTACATGGAAAAATACTAAAATATTTCTAATAGCCATACATTACTCAAGTAACACAGGGTTTTATAAACTAGACAAAAAGAACAGTAAATTCCTTAGGATTGTAGTGGAGTAAGACAGAGGAAGAGGAAACAATCCTGAGCAGCACTACACACAGCTCTGCACACATTAGCACACACAGTTGGAAGCATTATCCTCCTTTTCATTTCCTGCAACTTCTAGACAACAGAAGATTCTATCAAATACCACAAAAGCTTTTTTTGTAACGTTGTAGGCTTCACTTTCCTTTAGATCCAATGAAGCCACAAAACCTCACCAGGGGTTACTTGACAACTACCTATGTTCCTAGCATCTACTAGCTTAGACATGAAAACAGTATAGATATTCACAAAGTCTTTGTCCTGCCAGACCTAACACACCTAAAGAAACTATACAACAACGATTTTTTTTGAGTTCTGATGTCAAAAAGTGAAATCTTAAAGATCTGCTTCTCTGCTTTGCTGCTTTCTTAAATTAATTTCACACCTAAAATTCCCTAGAGCCTGTGGCTTTTTTAATTCTTTCCCAGTACAGGACTAAAGTTTAGAATAATCCTTTTGGCTGGCTGTCAAAAGTACACTTAAACTATACAAATCTGCTTTGAAGATTTAATAGCTCACATTCTAATATGAACGCATTTGGGTTTCACCCTGAAGAATAAAAGGAGGGGAAATGTTTTTTTAAGAAGTTGAGCAG